GGTTGAGGAGGAAGCGTATTGTGACCGGAAACCCTCGCTGTCAGAATCCATATTTCCTCAAAGAGATTCCTATCCAGGATGTGGCTGTCCAAGACTTTGCCTGTGAAGATGGTAGGACTGATGGAGCAGTTTTATGCATTAATCACTTTTAATCCTTTTGTTGGCCTTCATGTTTTTGTTTTTCTTTCTTCCAGGTAACGACGAGAACAGCTGCTCTCCCGTCCTGAGGTGTCCGGCTGAGTGCTCCTGTCTGGACACGGTGGTGCGCTGCAGCAACAAGGGCCTCACCTCGCTCCCCAAAGGCCTCCCCAAAGAGACCACCGAGCTGTGAGTCAGACACGCATCCGTGTGTGAAAGCAAATCTAATCACCTAAAGGAAAACGAAAACTGAGAGCTCAACCGATTTGGTCATTTATTGCTTACATTTTGTTGTAGTTTAATATTTAGTTAAAATAAACTCAACAACTAAATGTAATATTCCGTTTTTAATGAAATAGTAACAAGTTGAGACGGCTTTTGAGAGTTTCCAACATGTCTCAAAATATTTGTGAGGGTTCTCAATTTGCTTGTGTGAGTTCTGGGAGGGGTTGGGGGAAAGTTAAGAGGAATTAGAAACAAATTAAGACATAATATAGACACCGCTGACACCATAGACTGTACATACGGCTGACACGCAAATGTAAAAATTCAATAGCAATAATGTCATTTGATCCATTTGATCTTTTTGTCATCGTTTTTGTCTCTGAGACACAGGATTTCTGTGTTCAAAGGAAAGGATGTCCCCTTTAGCTTCAGGACATCATCATCAACAACCAGCTTTTTTATAAATTCATGACTGAATTATACAATTAGGCATGGTTTATTTATAATCAATGATCAGTTAATTGATTATTATATAGTCAAGTGGAGGAGTTTAAGTATCTTGGGGTCTTGTTTATGAGTGAGAGAAAGCTGGATGGATGGATGGATAGATGGATGGATGGATGGATGGATGGATGGATGGATGGATGTTAAGTCATAAACTAATTAGACGTGATTTAAACCAGATATTTGTCATCAGTTAATGGCCCGTTCACAATTACACTGATCCTCGTGAGTACTTCATTAGCTCACATTTCACTCGACTCTATTGTAATTGTAAACAGATAAAAGCATTTATTGTATGTAGTCAACGGTAAACATAAGAATAGTGAAGGAGGAGGTTTTGGACAGTAGGAGTTGTATCTGAGGGTGAGGGTTAAAAACAAACTGGAGTTCTGTATGTTGGAACCATAAAAACACTCAGAGCTCACAGTGTTGCCTCCACGCCACAAACAGAAAACCTTCTGCTCTTGAATGGCTTTGGAATTTATTAGAGTTGAACATCATCAGGATGGAGGTGAAAACCCATAAAACCACATCCGCTTGTAGAGGAACAGTAGCAGATACCCTGCAGCCTCACGGAGGATTTCATTTCTGAGACTCAGCTCAACGCGCACGCTCCACCTCACAGAAACGTCTCGGCTCATCAGAAACATGAAGCTCTGAATCAAACATCTGGCAGCAGAGTGGAAACATGGCTTCTCGGGTTTTAACACAGAATTAGTTCAAATGATGGATTATTAGTCATGAGCTGACAGATATAGTGTGTGTGTGTGTGTGTGTGTGTGTGTGTGTGTGTGTGTGTGTGTGTGTGTGTGTGTGTGTGTGTGTGTGTGTGTGTGTGTGTGTGTGTGTGTGTGTGTGTGTGTGTGTGTGTGTGTGTGTGTGTGTGTGTGTGTGTGTGTGTGTGTGTGTACTTGTCCATACATCAATGTGAGGACCAATGACAAACTTTACAAACTGAGGACATGCGAAGTGAGGTAGCGAAGTGAGGACATTTTGCCTGGTCCTTACCTTGTCGCAATGTTTTAGAGCTCTACTCGTTACTTTTTTTTTTGTTTTTTGTTTTTACCGTGTCCTGTCTGGCTGTGAAGCAAACAGAATTGATGTCTGAATGCTGGTGACAAGCCTTACAGATTTACCCTCAGGTGGAGCATCAAAGCATCTGCTTTTAATGTCACGCCTGATACTTAAAACTTTATTGTTATTGTTTTTGAATGCCTTGTAATTCTGTGGGAATATTAAACTTCAGCTTTTATTTTCAGTAACGAGGAGGGAAAACGTGGGGAATTCCCTTCGTGATTTAAACTTAATTTCATTCCCTCTCTCTTTATTTCCCAATCATCCTTTTACTTTTTCTATATTTGTTTTTTTCCCCTTCGTGTTTTCACACAACCTTGATGTGTGTGTTTTCTTTACACTTCTCTCTGTCTCGCAGGTATTTAGATGGTAACCACTTCACTCAGGTTCCCGTGGAGCTCTCCCATTACAAACACCTGACTCTCATGTAAGTTAAAACCACAATATTCCAAAAGTCCCCAAAACACACTCATCTGATGTGTGTCCTGCTCTCTGCTGTTTTAGCCCCTTTCTGTGTGTTGAATCTTGTTTGCAAACAATCTCAAGTGTTTGCATGGGGATTATGTGTGTGTGTGTGTGTGTGTGTGTGTGTGTGTGTGTGTGTGTGTGTGTGTGTGTGTGTGTGTGTGTGTGTGTGTGTGTGTGTGTGTGTGTGTGTGTGTGTGTGTGTGTGTGTGTGTGTGTTGTGTTTTATGCCACTGTTGTTTCCTTTTTCAGTGATTTGAGTAACAACCAGATCAGCACGTTGTCCAACCACAGCCTCAGTAACATGTCCGAGCTGCTGACCCTGTGAGTCTGGCTTCATTTACATCTGTCTGTATCTAATGCGTTTGTGTGTGTGTGTGTGTGTGTGTGTGTGTGTGTGTGTGTGTGTGTGTGTGTGTGTGTGCGTGTGTGTGTGAGGCTGCAGAAGCATTTGCTGCTTTGACTGCATGTACACAAAAAACAAGATTTAGAAAAGTCTTTTTATTTTTTCTCCATGCTAATTTGTTGTGTCTGTGTAGAATCCTGAGCTACAACCGCCTGCGGTGCATCCCAGTTAGAGCGTTCGACGGACTCAAATCCCTCCGTCTGCTGTGAGTCTCTGCACTGTCACATTCTGACACAAACAGGTTCCAGACTCGTAATGTCCACATTTCTGTGTTCCTCTCGTCTTTTTTCACTTCCTGTCTCAGATCTCTCCATGGTAATGACATATCTCTGATACCAGAGGGAGCCTTTAAGGACCTGTCATCACTTTCCCATTTGTGAGTATAATACAGATGCCCATAGCATGTCTTGTGCTGTAAGAAAGTAATCTGTAACAGGTAATCTGTAATCTGAATGTCATTAGAAGATAAAACAGGTAGCAGCTTCTTTAAACAGAAGTCACACAGAAAAAGAGGACAGAAAACAACGTTAAAACTTTTTTTTGATAAATCTTCTGCAGGGCTCTGGGTGCCAACCCCCTGTACTGTGACTGCCACATGCAGTGGCTCTCAGACTGGGTGAAGAGTGGATACAAGGAGCCTGGGATTGCCCGTTGTGCTGGGCCGGGTGACATGACAGACAAACTGCTCCTCACCACGCCCTCCAAGAAGTTCACATGCACAGGTAAGCAGTGCTATTAACACACTGAGATCTACCTGCAGAGACACACTGAGTTCATGTAACTTAGATATCTAATAGGCTTGTGTTTAACACTCACAATTTGGTGAGTATTTGGAACTATTTGGTGGTTTAACGCTCCAATCCATCCCCTTAATGCTGGATGTCAAGCAGGGAGGCAGAAGTCTTTGGTATGACCCGACCAGGAATCGAACCCTGATCTCACGGTCTCAGGGCGGGCACCCTACCACTGAGCTGGTTATATTACATTAGCATCACATGACAATGTATTTCTTTGCTTCAATGCATTTTAACAAAGTGCCACATGTTTACCAGCAGTGGTTGGACAGGACTGTGTCTGACTGAACTACTGAGATGCAAACCAACAACAATGACAATAAAAAGGGTTTTGTGTGACTATCAGGGGCCATTCCAGTCACGTTTAGGAAATTCCTACTTCTGACGGATGGATCAGGATGGATTGGGAATCCGATGCTTGCTTTTTTCCACTTAGTATAATTGACACAGATGACAACAAATGACTTTTAAATGTTTATTATAGCTTTCAGATCCCTAAGTCTGCCTGATGCATGGTTGTTGTAGCTGCACCGTGTCGTTCTCAAGGGTGCTGTTCAGTATTAAATCTTCTAACCTCATTATATCACATAACTAAAACCTATTTTTGACCTAATCTAACTGACGCTCTGTAGAAGTCCCCGGGCCTTGTGGTTTTCTGGTGCCAGGTAAAGTAGAAAATCATATCCCAGTCATTTCTCTTCAGACCCTCATTTCCCAGTTTTAAAAAGTTCCCTGTCCCAGTTTTCCTTATCCTTAAATCCCAGCTGAAACTGAACTGTTCTGCTTCCCGTTCAGTCCTCATGTTCTAACCACCATTGTGTCTGCTAGTTGTTAAATGTTATCAGAATAAAGGATTGTGTGTATTTTTGTACATATTATGGTCCTGTGAAAAAGATACCAGTTGTCTTATTTACAGTTTTTTACAGACATTAGGACCCATTTCTCAATACTTAGGTCACACTTGCAAAACTCTACATACAGTGTGCACAACAGAAGTCTATGTGGGCCAAACTGAGGATCAATTATCATTGCTTTGGAACAAAATGCATCGAGTGACTACATCTCTCAAATGTCATGAAGTCCCTTCTCACTCAGACACAACAACTGCCAAAAATCATTGTACTAGCAGGACATGTTGCACTTGCTTACATACTGTTCACAATACTGTAAAACTTATGTTCAAAACAATAACGTACTGCTAAACTGAACACGACAGCAACATCCAACAGCGATGTGTTATTGAAACATAAATGCAGTTTAACCAGCCACAGCTGACTCTAACTGTAGATGAACAGCTGCACAGGTGTTACACTTTCACTGTCATTATAAAAGTAGTCAACGCCAACATATATAATTGTATGGGACAATGTGGCATTTCACCACTCCCATGCAGTCACAGAGTGGTTTGTGGCCCATCCCAGAATGGAGTCACTTTTCCTCCCACCTTTCTCTCCATTCCTCAACCCCAGAGGAATTCTTTGCCTCATGGCGGTGGAAGGTGTACGACCATCATCCACATGATCAAATGTCCCTTCTGGATGCAATGTCTGCTGAACGCCTGGACATACCAGCAGTAGATTGCCAGGGATGGATCAGGCATGCCAGAAGATTCTGTCCTAGGTGTATTGCCCTAGATGACATAAGATGTGATGTGGATGAGAACCTGTGGCCAAATGGAGAAGACCGAGTAGATTAGCATGTTGAATCTGTATCAGTGGATGTTGTGTTTTGGAAGTACTTAGTGCAAAAACAAATACCATTAAAAATAAATGACCAACATGAAATATTGACTAATCTGCATCATGTCTGATTCATTCCAATGACATCTATTGGAAGTATGAACAGAGATGTGTCCTTGTTTTACACAAGAACATGTAACGCTACATGTTGTTAGTGTTTTTAGGTCTTTGTTTTGTGGGTGACAAAGTGTGTGTGTCGGCTGTCAACCTTTGCTAGTGTTCTGGAGGAATGTGTTTGAGACCTGAATGGAGTGTTTTGGTGGTTGTAATGCATTTTGAATGTGAAATGAACTGTTTTGCCAAGCTGAAACTCAGTTAGGAGAACTGTGTGAAGTGTCTGGTAAAAGTGACCTCAGTACTGAGAAATGGGCCCTAACGTCTGTAAAAAAACGTAACCGGCTGAGGAGAAAGCTGCTCATGCTGCTCAATTTATGCTTCTTCAGTATATTTTTCATCATTATTTTGCATAAACACAAACAGCCACTTTTTCATGCTTCCTTCATCTGTTCATGAGATCTGTGCAGGACCCTAATAGTGTGCAGATGTCAAAGTGTGTGAACTGTTGTGTCACATTTTACTCCCCTAGTCACAAAACAGTTGATGCTAATCATGCCCCGCGCGCGTGTGTGCATGTGTGTGTTTGTGTGTGTGTGTGTGTGTGTGTGTGTGTGTGTGTGTGTGTGTGTGTGTGTGTGTGTGTGTGTGTGTGTGTGTGTACGTGCAGGCCCTGTGGATTTGAGTATCCAAGCTAAGTGTGACCCCTGCCTATCCAACCCCTGCAAGAATGATGGCACCTGTGCTAATGACCCCGTGCACTACTACCGCTGCACCTGCCCTTATGGATTTAAGGTATACATTTACTATAAATCCTACTAGTCATTATTCTTTGAGTTATTAAAGGTGTGGAACACTGAAAAAAACAACATTTTAATGATTATTTAAATCCATACATGCAGTGTGACATTGTACATGTCGGGTCATTTAAGATTCACCCATCTTTACTCATGATGGGGAAGGGTGTTTTTAGTTTAGTGTCCAGGAAATAAGAGCACGCCTCAGCTAGTAGAAGCTAACTGTTAGCAATAGCAACTACACCACATGGCAGAACTTCAGGATGGTCTGAAGACCTGGAAAATCACAAACTATATTTAAAGCTCCTGATTAAATATTTGGCACTTAGGAAAATGGATGATGCTGTATGTGTTTGTATGCAGGGACAAAACTGTGAGGAGCCCATTCATGCCTGCATCAGTAACCCATGTCAGAGTGGTGGAACTTGTCACCTGAAGGAGGGGGAAGGAAGCAACTTCTGGTGAGATGCTTTCAACATACCTATTTTTTTTTTGTTTGTTGAACTAAAGCAGGTGTGTCATATATTTCCAGGTGAGCACCAACATTGTAAAATCAAAACTCCTCATGGCCAACACCCATGCAGAAAAAGTTGTTGGTTTTTACTGCTAATGAAAAGTGTCATATTAGTAAAATTAAGATTTTTTTTAAGTGGCAGATAAAATGACACTGTCCCAGGAATGCATTTGAGGTCCGCTCTAAATCACCTCATAGGAACAACAAATGGCCACACTTTAGATCTGCTGTGCTAAAGCAGGCGTATCTCTGCTTGTCCTGGATTATTCTGTTGCTAGGTCACTCTGTTTTTCTCAAATCAACTTTATTCATCAAAAAAACGTATTTTGTCACCTCAATTATTCTTAATTTATTTGTGAGGATAGACGACAAGTTTATTCGTTTATATGCAGATTGCCCAGAGGTGTCTGACATAACGCTGTGCAGTAATAAACATTTGCCTCTTGAGATAAACCAGCTGACGCAAATTACTTAGAATAAACTGTGTATATTGGGGGGGGGGGGGGGGGGGGGTTTAGTGATGATCACCAATCACCCATATACTGCAAATGTCTTTAATCTTGATTTGAACCCCAAACCTGAAATGCTAAGTGTTTAAAAAATTGATTTTATTCTTTAAGTCAATCCCGGCTTCCACCAGAGAATGATGCTGTTGTGTCCTAGAGCAAGGCAGTTGACGGAGGGATCAGTGGCGCCAGTGAATGACAGGTCTCACCTGTCTGTGCGCCCCAGGGCAGCTGTGGCTGTATCTCATCCCCATCAGCATGCGAATGGGTGAATGGCTGATGGCGTTGTGAAGAGCCTTGGGGGGTTGTGTTACGCTAATCAAGTTCAGTACAGGACATTTACCATCTGCAAGTTCAAAACTGTAATAATCATTTAAACATCTCATCTCACTGTTGGTGGTAAATTACAAACGCCATTAGCCAGGGAGTTTCCAAAGGTTCTCCAATAGTACCGAGGGCTTTTAGTTTCCTCTTGTGAGACACAGGACCTAATTCATGTCTGTCTGGATTTTAAACCAGCTCCAAATCTAAAAAACTCTACTTATGCAGTTTGTGAAACCAAAGTTTAAAACGTTTGAAACATAGACAAGAATCTGGCATTCTGTGTGCATACCATACCAAGTTTCTTTGTAGAGCACATTTAAAAACAGCATGTCAGCTGACCTAAGTGCTTAAACACAAGAGAGGGTGATGTAAACACAGACACAAACAGTAATGCTAAAAAAGAGCCCTCATCAAAGAATATAAAACAGGCAGTTACAAAAATAAAAGCATAAAAACAACAATGCAGCTGATTAAAACATAACACACGTGCATCACGAGCACAACTAAATTACAGATAAAAATCTGGAGGAACTGAGAACAAATGAAGACTTAATGAAGACATTATGCAACACAAACACTTGCATATTTGCTCCAATTTTGCTTGAAGGCTTCGGTGTCATCGACAGTTTGTTAAAACCACACAAGTTGAATCAAAGTTCAACAGTAAAGGAAGGAAACCACAAACCAACAGAAACACACAACTTCACTAAAAGTATAAAATTCATCAAAATGGCAAATGACTAAAAAAGATCACATGACCGTTATTAGATATAAAAAGTGAGTCTGAAACAGTCAATTCTGATTAAACGTTGAACTCCAGTAGAATCTGGTGAAAGGTGGGTTTTTAAAGACTTCTGAAAATGTCCAGGTTCTTTGACGTGGTTCCACAGAGAAGAACCAGCTACTGCAGACGTGTGATTATGTCTGCATTTATAATGTTGAATCTGCATTTTCCACCAACATAGAGAGGATTCCACTTCATTGTGATTCCAACAGATTCTTTCCATATTTTCTCTCAGTTTTGTCCCCAACAGGGGAGATTCAGGCCTTACCAACAAAGAAGCAAAGATAAACGTGTTCTAACTAAACTAAAAGTTCAAAAACTAGTGATAAATCAAAAGCCAGTAAATCTACTACAGAGCTGGTGGTGGGGGGAGTCACTGTTGTTGACTGCCAAGCTGAGAATGTTGTCATCTCTTCACTGGGACGTTTAGTGGCAGCAGGAGTCAAGAAAACACTCGTATGCAGCCTTTAAGCAGGTATTAACCTCCTACCAACACAACATCACAGCCTCTCTTTGTGGGAAAATATTCATTGTCAAGAGTTGTTGCTCACAATGCAACGAGATAATCAGTTTCTAGAGAATTTACTACATAAGAGCTCTTCATTAGAGCCATTACATTGCAGTGTGTGTTCATGCACATGTGTGTTTAGTATCCAGATGTCCCTATGAGCCGTAAATCTGTACAAGCTTGACTGGATAATGACTTGAAAATCAGTGACTTGTTTGATTATTTTAGTCTCTTTTTTACTGTTAGAAGTGACTAAAATACAGATTTGAATCTCAGGTTTTAGCAGACCAGTCCACAACCTTTGACACAGGTGATTGCAGCACTTTACTAAATAACATACGTGATTTGATTTTCAGGTAGAGCTCAGGAATTGTTCTCTTCTGACAGTAAATCAATGGTTCGGGTTTTTTATTTATTTATTTTTTGTGTGGTTGTGTGAAAATGTTACAACCTCTGTAAATATCCACTGGGTTTGGTGTAAGTAGTCATGTAATGTGAAATGTGTTGTGGTGCACAAGTTCATAGAACAGCATTCGTGTGAACTGCTATGAAATGATTGAGATGACTGTTGTTTTAAACTGCCAAACACTTAACTAGCCCCACTCATACTTGTCATCGATCAGAAATAATCTGTTTCTCCAGAATGAAACATTTTACAGAACTATTAATAATGGGCTAAATATTCATAATTATTAATGTTTTCACAGAAACATACTTCAAAGAATCTGAACTGCTTCTCCATCATTTTTATTTCCATGATGTTCCACAGGGCTCTTCTTCAGGAACACTTTTGTTTTCTGCTACTTTTGACTTTTGATTAATTTAGATGTGTTACATTATACTATGGTCATTTATAACAGGTGCAATTCAGCTATTCAAAAGATTAATGGAGGATCATCAACAGGTCAATCATTGATTACAATGTTGAATTTTTTTTTTTTTTACTAATATCCTGTCAGAAGACTCAGACTAGAAAAGAGCTTTAATTTTGTTAGATTTTGCTTAAGCCTTTAATGCTGTTGGTCACAGAGCTTGAATCACTCAGGATTTGGTCATTTCTTACTTTTCAGACAAGGGTTTATTCATGTGAGGTTCCACAGGGTTCTGTTTTAGGACCACTATCAGTCAATTAAAAAAATATTTAAATGGGCCTCAATGGATGTAGTGAATTAGAACAGTTTAGGTATGTTGTGTCAGTCCTGGAAATTAATCAAAAGATGAATTAGGAATGACAAAATTCAGTATTATTTCCGTTTGTGGAAATTGCATTATAATGAATGTGTTTGTGTGTGTTTTAGGTGTGTGTGTCCAGAGGGATTTGAAGGTGATACATGTGAGATCAACATTGATGACTGTGAAGATAACGACTGTGAGAACAACTCTACCTGTGTTGATGGAATCAATAACTACACATGCATGTGCTCCCCTGAGTACACAGGTAACACACTAGGGAGACCACTTGACATCAGTTTGTTTTCTATCATGCTGTCTTCACTTTTAATTCATATCTTTATTGACTCAGAACCCAGAAACACTGTACTTTCTAATGAGTGAACAGTGATCCTGTTGATCCACCAGCTTTAATAGTTTCTACAGTTTGAACTATAAAGACCAAACTGAAAGTGCTTCAGCTTTCGGTCGCACAGTTTATTTATTTATTTATTTTAAGTAACTGAGCTTTTGTTTCCGTAACGAGTTAATCAAACTAAAGCCTGCTCCGTACTTATACATATAGAGTAAATGTCGGTTTAACATTAATAAACTACAGGCAGATCATGCTTTATTCCACTAACACTGGTCAGTTGCTGCTTGTTTGTCTGCTTTTGCACTGTGCTGATCATCTCTGACTGCAAACTTTTGTAGCCATGTTTTCTCTCTGTCTTTGGATGTTTTTCTGTCCCATGTCTTTTCTCACTTGCTCTGCTTTTTATCATCTGTCATCTTTTTTGTACGGTTGCAGCTGCTACCAATGAGGTGGAGAGAGGTTAGTTTGTTCTTCTCTCTGTCCTTTTTGTCCACATCTCTCCTTCCCTGTTTCCTTGCATCCATTCCTAACTTCCGTTTAGTTTCCCGTGCTTTGCATTTGCACATAAAAAAATGAATCGTTATTGCCAAAGATTTTACATTTTGTATGCAGCTATGCTTCTAGTTAGCATTGCATGTCTTAACCTGCCCACTGTCTTCATGAGTGACACCGCAAAGAAAGTGGACCATTGAGCAGGATTGATGGTTTATCCCTTGAGGTCCACGTGGCAGGGGTGAGGTGGTGCTCACTCCTCACCCCTGCCATGTCGACCTCAAGGGATAAACCATCAATCCTGCTCAATGGTCCACTTTCTTTGCGGGGTCACTCATGAAGACAGTGGGAGGGTTAAGTGTGCAGACAAGCCTTGTTTTTAAGAGTGCAAAAACAATCTTTAAAAAAAGACCAAAATCAACAGTCTACATTTTTCTGTCCTGCAGCTCATTACTACTTCCAAAATGCAGATCTTCCTTTTTTAAGTTCTGTAATTACACGAAGGTATGATATGTCAGAATTTGAAGTAAAATGACCACAAAACAGTGACTCAGTCATGTCGGTAGGAAGGTTGCATTAAAACAGATTTCCTCTCAGCCGGCTCGGGGGTTGTCAGTTTTCCTCCTTTTAAAAAAGGCCAAAGAGGGACATAGTCTTTGTTTGCAATCCGTAAGCCTGCTGGGTTGCCAAGTTGGCGCTGCTGGCTTTAGTACTTTGACACCAGCTGGTAAAATGGAGTAATGTTTTGTAATTTATACCTCTCAGTCTGCGTTGGTGCGGAGACATGCAACACCATGCTTAAACACAAGAGAGGGCAAAGTTAACACAGACACCTTAAGAAGCCATGGTATCTTTTTGTTTTACTCTAACATCTTGTAAAACAGGCTAGAGGCTAGTGTTGAGCTAACACTGCTAACGGTGAATTAGAAGCAAATAGTCAACTCTAAAAAAAACTCTAGCTACTTTTTCAGTTACCAACAACTCGATATTAAAGTGAAAGGTATTTATCAACGTATCAACTTACTGTGTGTGACTCATCATCACTCATCATCTAGAATCTTCTGGCGCTGATCTGTATATTGCAACCGCCATTAAACTCACAGAATGGTAGTGAGAAAGGCCCAATCTCGATACTCGCACTGTGCCCTGCGGTCTTCAGCACGGTGCCCTTGGAGAAAGTGTGCTGTAAGGCTTCGAGTGCGTAGTACACAAGTGTGCAAATAATTGCCAAATTAAGACAGAGAGCATTGCATCATCGATTGCAACGCATGCCGGGATGCTGGTCGATGTGATACTTTATTCAAAAACCTTTATTAACAACTTTCAAACAAACAACCAAACAATTATTTTAAATTAATTTACATTTGTAGCTGCTTTGTCTAAAACATTCAGAGCAACAACTAATCATCCTAAAATGGACTAATTTAATTAGAAAATACATATTTTCAGAAAAGGAGCTTGAGTCTTTTTTCTGCAGCAATGGATTGTGTGTAATACACTTCATCCAAGTCCGCAGCGATGCGGACTTGGATGAAGTGCGGATCAAGGGTGCAAATGGGGCGTGATCAACTTCCGCAGAAGAGAATCGGGACACCCTACGCACCCCTGGTCGGAGTCGCGCATTTGAAGGGCGCAAGGGTGGAAGTACAAGTATTGAGATTGGGCCAAAGTCTCTTGTGTCATTGGAAAATGGACTGCAGCAACCAAATTTGAACACAGGATGTCTTTCTTACACCATTCTTACACAATGCACCTTTAAAACAGTGACATGTTTACTAGGCTAGTTTCAACTCTCAAGCTGGTGATTTTCTGGAAAAACATGACCTTTTGTCTCACTAAAGGGATTTAACTACTGCCTGAGACATGAAGATCTACCTTAATGTTTACTTTTACAGAGTTTTATAAGACATGCATTGAGATGGCAACTTGTAGAGTGAAAAAATCTTAACTTGGTCTTTCACAGCTTTAAAACTACTAAAATGTGAACTGAACATCATCATAACATGATGCAATACCTAAACAGTGTAACGAACTACTGTCTAACGAGTTTGTCCAGATCAAACACTGCTGCCTTCATGTGTGACAAGAAATTCAAAGACACTAAAAAACTGCTCAAGATGAGGTCAAACTACATAAAAGCAACATTTTAACCTAAATTGCGGAAAGAGATCAAACAACCAGCAAATATGTTAAAATCACGATCTGATGTGATTCTCCACAGAAACCTGTGTAGCATGTCTTAAGTGTAGCTAACAGTAAAAATGAGTGTTTTCCAATCGTTTAACAACTCTGATTATAAACATTTTAAATTAATTCATGCAAATGATTTTGAAAACCTTTTGGTTTTTAATAAAACACTGAATTCATTTGCTGCACAAATAGCAGCAATAAGGGCCTTTTCCAGCTGAATATTATACCAGCATTGCCTCAAAATGTTTAAAAAAGGGCAGAGTAAAGGTTCATGAAGGTTTAGATGAACACATGTGATAAAAGTTCATCTGAGGTCCCCTGTGACCCAGATCAGTCCAGCCTTTAGCATACTGATCTGATTAAAGCGCTGCTCCAAAGCAGATTTGTGATCTTATGAAACAGCTTGCCTCTCGACTCTATTTTATGCTGGATTATGCAGATTTTTTGTTAAAATGTTATTAATATGTCAACTGTGTGTCCGTTGAGGATGAGACAGTAGTTTCACTTTTGTTTGCTTTGTCATGAGCCGTTAAATAGGTTCTAATCACATTTCCCATATTCAAATAAGTCTTTGTTGAATGTTCATCAGACATTAATAATAAAACATTGATGGTTTTGTTTAAAGCGTGAACGCTGAGGAGTAAGGCTGAATCTTGTTTCTCTGAATTGGGCTTTTTATCAACCCTAGTGTCCCACCGCTGTTACCACTAGAAGTTACATTTGTGTTGTCATTAAAATTTGATATGAGCTGTTTTAAGACCAGCTATGGCTTCTTGTTGTGTGGTTGTTGAAAGAAATACCAACTTTTCTTTTCATTTACCCTTTTGACTTTTAATGTTGGGATTTTCTAGAAAAACAAAGAGTCCACAGAACCACTTTACCCAATATAGGTATATAATACTACAGAAGCATACAAGTACACACAGATACAGTCTCATGAATCCCCACAGGATTGTCTAATTGTTCCCTGATGCCTCATCAGTGACTCCCAGGAGTTCAGAGTACGAGAACACACACTGGAGTGTCATCCAGAAAAATGGCACTCTGAGCAGAGTGACCATTTATCAGACCACAGTCCTGGTCTGAGCGCCAAGAGACTACTCGTCCATCATCAGAGCTCACACACAGTGACTTGTATTTACTGCTGATGCCGTCAGTGCACTAAAAAGTCTTTCACATTAATATGTGTAAAATTAAACGTGCTGGCGTGTGTGTGTGTGTTTCCAGGAGAGTTGTGTGAGGAGAAACTGGACTTCTGTGCCCCTGAGCTGAACCCATGTCAGCACGACTCAAAGTGCATTCTGACGCCTCAAGGATACAAGTGAGTGCAGCATTTCGGTACTTAGTGGAATCAATGGCTTGTTGAATTTTCCCTGCAGAGATGAGCAGTGTCTCTGTGTGTGAGTGTGTGTGTGCATTAGTACCAGAACTTGTACCAGTCTGAACTACCCCTTAAGCTCTCACACAGTCTAGACTCTCGGGTTCAGCAGGAGGCCATCGTTCTTCTTTAAGGGTTTAAAAGTTTCAGCACAGTTTGTTTTACCTTCTGTGTCGCCACAAACGACAAACTGTCAGTCTCATGTCAATAAGTGCTGTTATCTGCGTGTGTTTGTATGTTTTATAGGTGTGAGTGCACTCCAGGTTATGTTGGGGAGCACTGTGAGGTGGACTATGATGATTGTGAGGAGAACAAATGTCAGAATGGAGGCCATTGCATTGATGCAGTGAATGGATACACCTGCATCTGTCCAGAAGGATACAGGTGGGCTCAGAAAGACCTCACAACAATTAGCATTAATCAAAGCAACGATGTGACATTCATATAAGATTTGTTAAAGCTACAATAGCTAATTTGCTAAACAAGCTAGCTTAAAAATAAAAGTTGCCTATTAACAACATTCCAACATAGTATAGGTATAAATATATGGTGGATGTTTAAAAACAAATAAATAGAAATAATGAAGTGGTTCTCTCGCATTTGTCTAGAAACCTCCACCAATAGCATGGCTCAGCCTGAAACCAACGATTGGACCATCCGGCTGTCAGTCTCACTGAACCACCACACTTCCTCATTACCCACAGTCCTCCTCTCATTATATGCTCCAAATTTAGTAACATAACACCTCTGGTGTGAGAGGTTCTCCACTCAATAAAATCAGAGAAGGAGAAACAGCCGGCTGCTACCACTTCAACTTTAAAACAAACTACCAGAGTCCCAGAAGGAAAAACACCTTTTGAAGTGAAGAACAACAAAATATGTTTGGATGTAGAAAACAGCGACTGGTGTTTAGCACTATCTTGTTTCCTCTGGCAACGCACATTCACATTTAAGGGGGGGGGGGGCTAGCCTGGGGATGATAGCCGATGGGAGAGGTGAGAGTTCTGTGATCGTGCTAGCTAGTGTTTCTTATTCAGCAAGCTGATTACTGGTTGGACGGAACAGATTTCCCAGCATGCCTCACTCTGTTTTATTTACTACTTTGTTACTGCTAATCCCTGATGTCTTTGTTTACATATGTTTACCACTAATTGGTCGTGTGAGTTGCCAGAACCTAGCAGACAGTTACCAGATCAGTCTTTTCAAAATAAGATCCGGCTCAAATTAAGCCCTGCCTTTATCTAATGTGCAGAGGCAGTGAGAGGGAATCAGATATGGGAATCCCAAGGAACACAAAGCAGTTTATAATTTCTGAATACTGGTCAAAAGAGGAGAGTGAGAGTGATTTGTTTTCCTGAGATCATCTGCTAGTTCTTTGGTTTGGTCTGCATTCAGGGACAAGTTATTACCGAGTCACTATAATGATAAGTTAATTACTTCATCCCTAAGCTGCCTCATTGTCATCTGTAATTTGTCCTTTGACGGTGTTGTCATCTGCAAAAGTAATGATACACTTTCAGAGGTTATTAGCAAGACAATTAAAGGTAAACAGGCCTCATTAGAAGGCCCTGAAGGACACTGATATGCACCATTTTGGAAGATTTGTCTCCAGTTTAACTCATCTGGATTCATTCTGTCAGAAATCTATATTTGCACAATAAAAATAACCAATTTAACCAGTCATATAAGATTTTTATATACATTTCAATTAGAAAGCACAAGCATGATCCTGATGTATTGATGTAATGTTTCTGTGTGTGTGTGACGTGTGTGTGACGTGTTTGTTGCAGCGGGTTATTCTGCGAGTTTTCCCCGCCGATGGTCCTTCCTCGCACCAGTCCTTGTGACAACCATGAATGCCTCAATGCGGCCCAATGCGTTGTCATGGGAACAGACCCCCAGTGCCAGTGTCTCCACGGCTACGAGGGTGAGCGCTGTGAAACACTCGCCAGCGTCAACTTTGTCAACAGAGAGTCATACCTGCAGCTTCCCTCCAGCCTCCTCTCACCTGAGACCAACATCAGCCTGCAGGTACTCAATCTGACATCAGGTTCTCTGCTAAGGTTGTGTTTTGAGTTCGTGTTTGGTTAAGTTTGGAAAGTATTTCACATTTTTGTGATTAACACAGTGCTTGGTGGTACTTGGTGAATGTGTGGGTAGAAAACTTTGAAAACATCCTGAATCTTACTGGAACAAAAGGTGCTCAGGGCATCCATTTTGTTTGCCTAAGGATCTAGGGTATTATTTATAAAACACCGCGTAGAATCCTTACTAAAACCGTACTTAAGCTCAGCAAAAAAAAGTACTTACACCAAGTAGGTTTGTGATCTATAAAACATGGAGTATTGCGCAGCTGCACACAATCTCCACTTTATAAATCACAGACTACCTGGAACTGTACTCAGGTGTTTTTTGATCAACACACCCACTTTCTGCCATAAATGGTCAGTGCAAAGAGTCTTGTGGATCTCGTGCATATACATGACCCGGCTAGTTGCAGCATTTCACCATTAACCATGGCGACTGCAGATCAAGGAAGCGCTATTGCACCGAAGCAGAAACTGAGGTGCTTGTGGGTGAGGTGGAAAAATTAAATGAAGTGCTTTTACAAAACAAATAAGAGAAAATCCACGGAGTGGCACAGCGTTGCTGAAGCCATCAATGCAAGCCATCAGGTCTCTGCTTTTTGATGATGATCTGGGGCCTCATTTATCAAGCTTGCTTACACACAAAACACCGTTGGAAAACTGCGTAAGCAACTTTCCATGTAAACTTTGGGATTTATAAAAGAAAATGTAGCGGGAAAATGTGCGCAACTTTAAATAGACTAAGGACCTTGCTAAAGCTTGGTTTATGCTTGACGCATTCACTTTCCGCTCGGTGATGCGGCTCGCGGACGGAACGCGCTTCACAACTCGCAGCATTTATGGTTCGTGCGGCTTGTCTCTGCGGTGAGCCAATATTCTCCCAAACTGTAGGGGGCAACATGGAGCTCTACGGCAAGCATCCAACACTACACCATAGTAGAAGTAAAAACTGTTGTTTACAACATGGCATTCCAGCATTTTTCAACAGCGTCCTCATGTTTTCCGACAGTGCGAGCTATTTCTCTCCAAGAATTATTAACTCATTCACTGCCAGCCGTTTCCTGATCACTAACGGCCTTCGCTGCCAGCGTTTCTCACCGTTTTTACTGTTTTTTAAGAGTCACAGAACGTTGCGCGCTAGCATGATGTCGATGCCAAAACAACCAAAACAAAGAGGAGACTCACCTCTTACATCAGGAAGAAGCCACGTGTTTCGAGCGTTATCCGTTCTTTCATAATCCGTTGTCGAATTGTGATCGGCAGACGCTTTTCCGGTTCGCGCCTCACTTTTTTTACAGGAACGGCCCAGAACGATCTCCAAACACATGGATGTGTTGCTTCCTGATCATGTGATCTGTGACGTATGCGGATGTTGATCAGCTTCAGGGCTGAGATGTTGGTTCTCTCAGCGCGGGGGCTCGTTCCGATGCTCAAACAGTAAAAACATGCAAATGACGACTTTAGTCGTCATTGGCAGTGAATGAGTTAACAACATGTTGATCACGGTGATCTCTGAGAGCTGAATCATACAAATGTCTGTATTTACGAACCTCTGCCATACTAGTCCTTGCCAGTCCGCCATGTTTTTCCGCGTCCGACCGTCCGCGTGGTGAGAAAATTTCCTAGGTGCGTGGTGCGTAAAGTTTGGGCCATGCGGAGGCGCGGTGGAGGGGCGTGGTTGTTACAATGACACAACTCTTCCGCGCGGAGCCGTGCGAACCTCTCGGACGCGTCAAGCATAAACCAACCTTTACTCACATTTTTGACATGGAGAGCCCCTGCAGTGCTGCTGCTGAGAAGGATACAGTTATGAAATCCTGCAGCATTATCACTTGTACTGCTTTGTTTTCACACAGAACCAGACCCCCCCCACACACACACACACACACACACACACACATGCGTGCACACACACACAGGCGCGCACACACACACACACACACACACACACACACATACAGCCTGAAGCGCAGAATACGGAATGCTGAATAAGAAAGCAAGGGAAAGATGGCGGATTGGTGATGTGTCTGCAGGAATCAACCAGAGGAGCTGTCCCAAGTGGCTGGAGAGAGGGAAGTCTTGGCCTCTCTGCTTAGGCTACTGTCCCCATGACCTAACCTCGAATAGAAAACCAGCTGAGGAAAATGGACAAATGGATAAAACAGAAAAGCAGAAATATTTAAAGCATCAATGCCACTTTTACCTTCTCAGTGGCCTAGTGGTAGAGTGTCCTCCCTGGGACTGGGAGATCAGGGTTCCAGTCCAGTCGAGTCTTACCAAAAACTTTTAAAATGGGACCCAATTTCCCCCTGCGTGACACTCAGCATTAAGAGGTTGGATTGGGGGGTTAAACCACTGAATAGTTCCCAAGCGCAGCCACTGCTGCTCACTGCTCCCCACAGGGTTGGATCAAATACAGAGATGTAATTTCACCAGTGTGTGATGATGACTGGACTTTTAAACCACCATTTCCTTACAGTCACTGGCTTACACCTAAAACGTCAGCACAAGAACCGCTGTTCCAGGAGCATGCTGCTTGGCAGCACAACTGTCAGCAAACAACTGACTGTGGGTGAAAAACAACTTTCAAATGTAATATTCAGTAGGTGATTGTGCAATACCAGACATACGTTAGTATGTCTGTGTCCCTCATGCTGCATAGTTGTGGAAACCCAAGTTTTATTTTTATTTGTTGTTTTTTGTGGTTGAAGGTTATATTAGCTTAGTGGCTTTGTGTTTTTACCTGTAATCTGATTACTTTCCTCCTCCTTTTCTCCAAGTGTTTGTGCTGCTGTAGCAAGTGAATTTCTCCTTGGTTGGATTAATGAGGTCTACTCTATTCTAAAGTATCTCAGACACAGAGTTGTGGACAGACATAAGGCAGTAGATGGATGCAAAAAAATAATCTAACTCTATATCAATCCCAAGGAGCACAATGAGGTTTATAATAAAGAAGTGGCAAGTGTTTGGTTCTACTAGATCTACCAGCTACCTGGATCTCATCGTACCTCCAAACTGGATGTCAGATCAAGAAGGAAACTGGTGAGAGACGCTAACAAAGAAGCAGATGACTACTCTGAAGGACTTCGAAGTCTTTATGACAAAGAGTGGTCATTCTGTACATTTGACAACTATTTCACAAGTGGTCCGAAGATGTGGCGTATTCTGGAGGGTCACAAGGAAAAAACCTCTTCTGGAGAAAGGCCACAGTAAAGCTGGTTTAACCTTTGTCAGAATGCACCTGGAATTTCCTGATGCCAAACAGAAAACCCCTTATGGTCAAATAAGACCAAAGTTAAACTATTTGGCCTTAACACTATACAGTACACCTGGTATAAATCCAGTTCAGATCACTGTCCACAACACACTGTATCTGTAGTAAATTACAGAGGTGGCAGCCTCCAGTTGTGAGGGTGTTTCTCTGCCTTAGGCACTAACTCTCGTTAGGGTAGAAGTAATGGATGGAGAAAGTACATCAAATTCTAGAAGAAAACATCCTCTGCCAGAAAGTTGAAGATAGGTAGAAGATCCACCTTTTGACATGACAATGAAGCACTCAGAAAAACTGACCATATAGTGGCAGAAGGAGGGAAAAACTAAGGGGGTGCTTCTATTCTATCCCCACTGTAAATAGTCTCTACTCATCTTAGATAGCTGGGGGTCCAGAAATGTCTTTCCTTTTCTTTTTACTGACCAAAGCATTAGTGTGACTTTTTGAGACCAACATTTCTTATTTTCACCTTATAAAGTTTAAATGAATGAAATCACTTGAATATATGACGGAGCAGTGATGGGATGTTACATCATTTGGCCAGTGGTCTTTTATGTGGGATTTGTAAATAAGACAACGGCACAAACCCCAAATCTGCATCAGCACACAATCCTGTTGTGATTCTGGGTTTCATCTGGGCAGGAGTTAGAAATCCCATCTTTGTTAACCTGTCTGTGCATTTTTTTTTTTTACCGTGTCCTGTCTGGCTGTGAAGCAAGCAGAATTGATGTCTGAATGCTGGTAACAAGCCTTACAGATTTATTCTCAGGTGGAGCATCAAAGCGTTTGCTTTTAATGTCACTCCTGATACTTAAAACTTTATTGTTGTAGGTTTTGAATGCTTTGTAATTCCGACCAGACACGGAGACAGAGGTGAAAGAGAAAGGAAAAGACAAATGGTGGGGAGATAGGTGGGGGGGGGGGTTCCACAAAAATAAACAATAATTAACAAGAGTCTGCTTCTAGACCTGCAGAAAGAGAACTAATGGGACACACAACAATACATCAGGAGCAAGCTATCGCTGCTGTTTGATTCTTTGCACTGATTGCCGATCACGCTTCAACTGAGTCGTCCTCGGTCAGAAGGATTGGCACTCCACAGCAATGTCGTCCAAACAGCTTTATTAAGGAGGCGGCAGATGATATCAACAGGTTGTACAACGTTAGCGGTGAGGCAATGGCATTCCTGTATACCAATGCAGGTAAAGGATTGTGAGCGTGTAGGAGTATGTAGGTGTGGTAAAATGATAAACACGCACACCGAGGGTAACCCACACAGGAACGCACGAGAAAAACGCTGATCATCCAACACCTTTCAGCTGTGCTGAACTGCGCTAAACACATTCCCAACCAGAAGTACAGATACCGATGTGCATCATGGGTAACGTAGTCTAAACGGTTAAAGTGACCAAGCGGACTTTTAACAACTGCGTTAATCTGATGATGAAATATAAAAGTGTCTGTGCATTTAAGTCACACCAACCCACATCAGATAACTTGTTGATGACACTTTTCCATTGCTGTAATGATGTGATGCTGTTCTACTGGTTAAAATCTCACTGATATGAACATAAATCTGTTTTCAGATTGCTACGGATGAGGACAGTGGTGTGCTTTTATACAAAGGCGACAATGACCACATCGCTATGGAGCTGTACCGGGGGCGTCTCAGGGTTGGCTATGACACCGGGTCCTACCCACCTTCTGCTATCTACAGGTACATGCACACCCCACTCACAGATGTCATCTTCATGATTGATGATCCAGATGTGTTGTCTGAACTTCTCCATCCACTCCTTCAGTGTGGAGACAGTGAATGATGGGAGCTTCCATTCGGTGGAGTTAATAGCAGCAGATCAGAGTCTGTCTCTGTCCATTGATGGTGGTCCACCCAAATCCATTGGTTCCATCAGCAAACGATCCACCCTCAACATCGATTCTCCCCTTTACCTGGGAGGTAAGGACTCAGAACAGGCTCTTTCTCTATAAGTGTTGATGAAAAATCATTTCCAATGATCATAGCTCAGGTTCTGTGGTAGTCTAACACGTTTTCCACCCAAAATCTTAAGCGAAAGTTGTTGGACTGTGTTACAGTGTAGACTCTTTAATTTATGCAGGGATGCCAGAGAGACTCTCAGCCTCCGGTGGTCTTTCTGCCCTCCAGCTCAGCTCAGGAGGTCGCAACGGCACTAGCTTCCACGGCTGCCTGCGTAACCTCTACATCAATGGGAAACTGCAGGACCTGGGAGCGGGGCTGAAGCCAGGAGGTCTGGGTTCTGGGACTCCACAGAGCAGCAAGCAGTGGCTGGGGAGTGGGGTGGAGCCTGGCTGTCAGCCATGTCTGAGAGGAGCTTGTCTCCAAGGAGACTGTCACCCAACGGGTCACCGAGGCTTTACCTGTACCTGCCACCCTGGGTGGACTGGAGCCCTCTGTGACCAGCAAGTTAGCAATCCTTGTGATGGTAACAAGTGAGTTGTATTTGGTCATTTATGGTAGAAACTAAGAAAATCACAGTTGGATTGCTTTAATTTAAAAGATTACCACATCTTGTTTTCTTTTTCTCTCCTTCATGCAACACACAGGTGTATCCATGGAACCTGTATCCCAATCAACTCATACTCATACTCCTGCCGCTGCCAGCCCGGCTTCGCCGGCGTTTTGTGTGACGAGCAGAGTCAGGACGCTGGGAGCCCCTGCAGCCTGTCTCACTGCAAACATGGAAAATGTCGAGTTTCAGGCCTGGGCAAAGCTTACTGTGAGTGTAACGGGGGCTACACAGGAGAGGCGTGCGACAGAGGTGAGGAAAACTAGAATTTAAGTTTGTGGCATCTTTGTGTTTGGCTTCTTTACCAGATTCTACTAAAATACAAACTAATAGCTTTTAAATCTGAAGTGATTTTTACATGAACCTTCTAAACTTCTGTTTCTCTCTTTGCTGCCTGCTGACTCAAAGTCTCTTAACAAATAGCAATTTTAACATTTTATTTTTTCTATACTAATGATTCTAACCCATCGCTTCTTCAATCTAGCCTCCCCTGAGCTTCCTTTTAATCCCACACACGGAGCTACTCAGGTGAGATTACCTGATCACATATAATCCCAAACCATGATGTTTGTCATTTTCCCTGCTAACGTACCCCGGCCTACTTCATCTTGTTGTTGCTTCATGCTCATAAAATGGAGATAAACTCAACTACACCTGCTTCTTTCACTTGGAATCTGATGAGTCCTGTTACTAAATCAATTTTGTTTGCAAAGAGTCCATCGTCTCTAAAAAGCACCCAGTAGTCGTGTTTCCACTCTAGGGGGTCCAGGAAGTGTTCGAGAGGGAGGAAGGTGACAGGGAAAATACGCTGGCTCAGTCCTCTCAGTCGTTGTGTCTCCATATAAAATCTGCCTTTTCAGGACTTTGCTAAAACGTTAGCATATCATGATTGCTTCAGCAGTGAATGACATCAATGATCAGCGCCAAAAGGTAATGCGATTAAGAGTTTAATTCTGTTAAAGTACACCGTTGGGCTGTGAGGCGTAAAAAGCAACGTTCCATGACCAGAAGAAGCTGTAGGAAAGCACAAAGCAACATGAATGACATTTTGGGGAATTTCTGCCACGTTTTTTGGTGATGAGAGTTTATAGACGGAAATTTTTAAGCATCATCATTGCTGCTATTTTTCTTTACCTTCAGTTTTGCTTTGCCATCAACTCCTCCATTTTACAAATGCCAGTTGTTTCGTGACATCTGCCTGTATCATTTCCTACTGAGTTACAACCTTACAACCTATCAGCGTGAGTTAATCACAAGCCCCCCCCACGCGGCTCTACTGGAACATGTCCGAGTGCATACCCCATTTCAGGTACTCAGCTGGTCGAAATGGTCCAGAAAACGGTTTTTTCAGGACCTGATGAAATGAAGACACGCATACCGCAAAGGTCCGGCAAACTTAGCTGGTAGTTCTGATGGTGGAAACGGGCCCATGTTGCAAACTTGCTAAAGCAGTTGAGGATTCTTCTAAAAGCGACGTTTTCTAATGCTGCGCTCTTGTTTCAGAGGTTGCCTGTCGTGGGGAACGGATCAGAGATGTCTACCAGAGACAGCAAGGCTATGCGGCATGCCAAACCCAGGAGAAGGTCTCCCGTCTAGAGTGTCGAGGCAGCTGCCCGGCGGGAGCAGAGGGCCAGGGGGCCTGCTGCACCCCCCTCCGCAGCAAACGCAGGAAATACACCTTCCAGTGCACCGATGGCTCTTCTTTTGTCCAGGAAGTGGAAAAAATTGTCAAGTGCGGCTGTACAAAGTGTTCTTCTTAAAAAAGAAAGTTTTTTTTAAAGACAGCTCCCTGGACAGATTTCCACTTCTCCAGATAAATTCTGTGTTCCTGCCCGCCTTACTTGGTCCTGGTACCCTCCTGTTTCTCTTGAGGAAGCGCTCTTCACCACCTACTGAGAGTATTATTGCCACCAACCCTGTTTTTTTTAAAAACCCTGAAAAAAGTGGACAAAAAATTAAAATAGAGAAAACAAAAAAAAGTTGCTTTTCTTGTCAGTGCTGGACTGATGATCGATGCTTCCTCGGTGAGGACCCTGAATTGTATTGTAAAGTACAAAAAACAGACTTTATTTTTTATTATGAAGTGTGGAAAAAAGACAAGAATGAAACACTAAAAGTTGACTTTGTCCTTACGTTTGCTACTCCTTGTTGGTCATGATGACTCCAGTGGTGTGCCACGCTGTCTCTTCCCCAGAGAACTGACCGGTCACTGATGGCTTACCACTTCCTGTAGACTTCCTCCTTCCTGTGCATTTTAGGAATCATTTTAACTGGTAGTTCCACAGACTTGCCACCAGGAGGAGCTGCATTAAAGCCTGGGAGAATGTGGGGCATTGATAATCCCAGATACAACAATAAAAGCACCTATGTAATCTGCAGGCTGCTTTGGCCAACCTCTGTGACGGTGTGCATGATCATACACGTGTGGTATTTCTTTGTTTTCTTTTTTACAGCTACTGAACACACACTCACTCTCACCTGCTACGTGTCAGGGTACACGCCACCCTCTGTTCATGCACCTCTGGTCATGAATTACATGTATTTATTGTGTCACAAATACCTTGGCTTATTCAGTAGATCCCTCGTGTATCAGTTTGATTCTTTTAATATATATTAATTTATATGTGTCCTTATTTTTGTATTAAAAGACATAATCTGTCAAGATAGCTAAACTAACAAAATGCTGTCCTTTATTTTTGGTGTAAGAGAAGTTGTTTTTTTATCACTGAAACTATTGTGCTTGCCAGAGACCTTAGTTACATTTTAATCTGCAAATGTGACGTGAAGACATTGTATATTTTTGTGGCGTTTCCTGAGAGTTTGTACTGTGCCGTTACCAGAAGGTCTTTATATATTAGAGTATAAATGTATAGTTTTCCCTACTTACGTATTTCACACACACAGATCTTTGTGCGTAGCATTGACCCTAGTGGATGCATAGAGCTCTTTTTACCTTTTTAACAAATTTAAAGAATACTGTGACTTTTTTCTAAATGAAACTACTTTGTTAGCCCCTCGGCCCCTGTTGTTAACATGTTGCTGCTAAGTTTTTGTACCGTAGACTTGGATCCTGATCTGTATGTTATATCGAGCTTCCTGCTCCAAACAGTATGAGGGCGGGTGGGCACCTTGTGTAACAGATAAATGTGTCCCTGCCACCTCTACACGTGTGCATTGTGCTTTATATTCCCCCTCCTCTCCATCCCCAGACTAATGTCAGTTCCCTGACTGATGTTTGTTTATTAAACACAATATTTACCTCACACCTCTCATCTTTCTTTTCTTTTAGGTAACTGAGTCAGAAATCATCCCAACAACACTGAGGAAAATGTGAAACGTGATATTTGTGCAATATATTTTATCAAACAGGCAGAAGTGTGAAAACGTTTTTGCTCTTTTTCAGTTTTTAAATAATGATTTCACAGATTGGGGGAAAAGATTAACTGGCCGAAAGGTGAAACAGTGATTAATGTCTAATCAATAAAATAAAATGAAGAGTTTGCCCTAACCTGTAAATGTTACAGTGATTTAAATTATTGTGTACTTTACTAACCGCACTGTGGCATGCATAATAAGAGAATACCATGCAAACCGATGTATGAGGCTTTTTAGGAGGCTGTTATTTTTTCTGTGCAGCTTGGTATCAAATGATTCAGTAACTTGTAACGTGACTTCTTCATGTCTAGTTTTAGATTTTAATGTAGCCCCTTTCTCTTGCAGTTTCCTTTTATGGGTCTATAATTAACACAGTTAATGCTTCAAATGCACAGGACTGTAACGCTTTCTGCTGGTCGAATACAAACTAAACATCTCAGCAGCAGAAGAGGGTACAGCAGCATCTGGGAAATTCCTGGTCAGTCCCAGTACGATAAATCTCCACACCAGTCAGGCCATAAGCAACTTCTATTAACAGGGTGGCCAGCCTTTATGACCTACAGCCTCCCGTTTGGTGTTGCAGGGCCTTTGACCTACGGTGGCCCAGACGGGTCGATGAAATACAAAAGCTAAAACACGACAAATAGCTGCAACACAACAAAAGCCATAAAGGAAGTTATACGAAAACGGAAATCAATCTAAAACAGAAGTTCTCTTAAGCCAATAGGTGGCAGTAATGCACCACTTTACTGGTGGCAAAGAAGTTCAAGAAGAAGAAGAAGAACAGCAACAACAACAACAACAACAACAAAGAACTAACAGCACCTATAAGATACAGAGTTTGAACACTCTTAAGTGTTGTAATTAATTTTTGGAATTTTTGGGATGGATTGGAATGTGCAAGTAACATGTGCATGGAGTCCCTGATAGTTCCAAACAATGTCATTGAACGCTGCTCATTCTCCATATTTCAGAGTCTTTTCCCCCCGGTAAGTTGACAAAATCAAAACATTTTGGCATCACAAAGCATTAGCTTTCTGCCTCGAACCAGAATACGTCTAAACTGATTTTTCAACAAGCCCTATTAGGGCTTGTGATCACACGTGATTATGCATAGCATTCTGGGATTTGCACGGCCATGCTGGAAGATTGACGAGTGTAAACACACCGTGAAACAAAGGGCACTGTCACAGAGAAGAAGCGGATTTGGGTGAAAGAAAGTGTTAAACAACATCATAAAATCCCAAAAGAAAGGGTGCAGAATATACAGGAATAGGTTAAATAAAGACGTCGGGGACCAGTGTGTAGACAAAATCAGAGTTATAAATGTTTTTTATCCACATGAAAGACCCAAGACCGGAGTACTGATGACATATTGTTGCCGCTGAAGTTCTGCATAACAGACATTTTCAGCTTTCTTGTTTGTGGTGTGAGCAGATGTAAACGTTCGGATGAGAGGTAAACATTTTATTTGTTGGTTTTTCTAGTAAAACGATCAAAATTGTCGTCTCACAGAAGAAGTGTAGCAAGAGAATTTGTGCTGGGTGTCAGCGCCCGCATTAGCTTACCGGTATGTGCGTGTAGCCTCTGTGTGTGTGTGTGTGTGTGTGTGTGTGTGTGTGTGTGTGTGTGTGTGTGTGTGTGTGTGTGTGTGTGTGTGTGTGTGTGTGTGTGTGTGTGTGTGTGTGTTGTGCGTGTGTGTGTTTCATGTGCATGTCGAAGGAAAAAAACGATGTATAAATAAACATACACCAACTGTAACTTACCAGAAAGAAAATACTCCAGAATGTGATTCTTGGGTATTTTTATACCCTAAAATGAACCACACAGGTGGAAAGGGTCAGTCGGCTTTTTTACGCTGGATACAGCGAACAGAGATAGAGGCTCAGAGCCTGTTAGGCCTCGCTCCAATCAACTCTCTGGCAACTCTTTGCACCACAGCTGGTTTTATTGAAACGCAGGGAAAAAAGGACAAAGAACAATCCATCACTGTCCACACTTAGCCACTAACAGTGTTGCTTCTACCTAAGGCGGGACATTCCAAAAAGGAAGTCTTAATTTATGACTGACAGCCAGGAAACTCAGTAACCATGGATACCTGTTGCCGGACAGGGTATTCCCCAACCCCCAAACAGACAAACATCAGGGCTTATCAGCCGCATTCCAGAGCCAAGAGGAAGAAGGAGAAAGCCCTGTGGCTTACTTCCAAGGCCGGATTAACTATATGGGCAACTGGGTAATTGCCCAGGGGCCCAAGAACTCTAAAGGGCCCAGGCCCAGGGCAGCAAGGGCACAAGCAAAATACTGTATCTGTAATCTCCCGCTTTATATGAAACTAGGGTGACTGTACGTCCTCTTTTCCCCGGACATGTCCGCTTTTCACTCTCTGTCTGGAGCGTCGGGGGGGGGGGGGGGGGGGGGGGGCAATTTTAATTGAAAATGTCCGGTTTTTCATCCAGGAGCAGGGATCGAATTATGAGGGAGCGGGATATCCTACACATCCAGGGGAACCGGAAAATACGTTTCTACCTATATTACATCATTTATGGACTCTTTTGAGCAGAGGGCACAGAGAGCGGCCGAGCGATGATCGTTCGTGTGCAGCGCTTCAGACCGCTGCGTCCTGCGCATGGAAAGTGGCGCTACCAAAAAAACTATAATTAACACATGATCGTTCATGTCCGCACATGTTCTCTACTTTTTGTCTTATTTGTGCCTAAAGCGCTCTGCTACTGCGGAGCTCATCACCTGTGCTGCGGTGATTTCACCTCACTGACGCAGCATCGAAACGCGCACTCCGCTTTGCGGTCAGGAGATCCCTTTGATCTGTTCAGAAGTAACTGATGAGGTGAAAAAGTAAGAATCCAGCCAGCAGTATTTCTGGAGAGTTTAGAGGTGATGCAGGAAGATGAGAGACAGACTCCTGTCAAACAAAGAGTTCAAAAGTAAATTGTAGGTAGATTTATCTCCACTACACGTTTTTACCTGTATAAAACAACAACATTACACATGTAATATTTATACATCTGATACAATTCAGATCACCTTATGTGCTATGTTTAGCAGCACATCACACACACAACATGCTCACTCATGTTTTCTTTGTAATAAACACATATCAATGCTCCTGGAAATAGAACATGAACAGCAATATGAGCCACACTCGAACAATTGATGTCTGTTTATTGATGTCTGTGGAGGTTCTCAGTCATCCAGGTCATAGTTATTTTACAAAAGGTTGTCAAACAGCAACTGGATTATGTTATTTCTTTAACAACATTGCACCCTCTCATTCCAGAGAGCTTTCTCAGTTTGTTGAGTTCTCATTGTTGAATGGAGACACAGCCACAGTTACTGGTTATGTCACCATAAGCTTTAATGAAGAAAACAATGTCATGATAAGTTCCACCATCAGTAAAGTTCTACAATAACTAATGAAAATTGTTTATCCCTCTTCTGTCAGCAAATGGATGAACTTTTTGGTCACACAGCGGTGGGAAGTGCACCACCTGGCACAACTGTTTCAACTCCCCTCTCTCCTAAAGAAGCCCATCCTTCAGCAGCTCAGTCATCACCTGCTGAAACCGAAGCGCAACCTGGTCCCTCATCGGCCATACAGGACAGACAAGCTTCTGGCTCTAAGAGAAGCAAGACTGCTCATCTCCCAGCATTTTGTGGCATACAGCACACCAGCTCACATAAATGTGTGGGAATGAAGAATAAAACCAAACATTGGATAAGGTGCTGGGGTAAGGGTGGGCTAGCTTAAATCTGGGAACAAATCCTGTCTCTGTAGTTTGAAGCATCTTCATTGTTGGGTTGTGGTGGATGTGGGTCATTCTCGTCCTGCTCTAGCTCCTCCTCCTCCACATGGTCACTAGGATCCAAACAAATGCTGTACAGAATGCAGCATGCTGTCACAGTTGCACTAATATGTCCTGTGTCTTTCATGTGAAGACATTTGAGCCTCCTAAACTTTGCTTTCAGCATGCCAAATGCACGTTCAATGACAACACGCGCCACATTCAGTTTTCTATTAAAGTGCCTTTGGCTGGCTGTGAGGTGCCCATAATCATGTAAGGCTTCATCAGCCGTGGCAATAGGGGGTAAACTGAATCTCCAATGATGTGCATGCCATTTGGGACCAGAGCCTGGGGGTCTTCTTCAAGTAGGTGTGCAACAGTTGTGAGGCGAAAGGCTCTTGCATCATGCCAGCTGCCAGGGTGGCCCACACTGACATGACAGAAGCGGCGATTACTGTTTGCAAACCCAGTAAGGATTATGGAATAGAACTGTTTTCTGTTATAGTATGCTGTGGGATCATTGCAATTTGGTCTGACAATGGGAATGTGACATCCATCAACGGCACAGACTGTATTTGGAAAACCTGCCCTCTGAAATCCGAGCTGTGAGGTGTGAAGCTGTTCACCAGTAGGTCAAGAAATGTAATGTGACAAATGTGTGATGACCAGGGAGCAGAAGTGATGGAGATGTGCAAAAACTGTAGATTTGGATATGTTAAAACGGTCCGCCACTCCCCTGTATGACTCCTGATTTGACAGCATCCACAGACAGGCAACAACACTTTTGGACAGGGGTTATTTGGTGTGCTGTCTAATCATGTGGAATGGTCCCAGTGACATCACTAGATCCTAAATGGAAAAGTCAGAAAGTGAACATGATGTCTGAGCAAATATGAGTAGTGGTAACCATCACAAAAGCCTGCCTCCTTGTCCTCTGGAAAGTCTGAAGTGGCTTTTAAAGTCAGAATGACGGTATAAAGGAATAACATTCTCAACAAAGTGTTTCACTTTTGGCACAGACCTGAAAGAAATTATATGCACATTATTATTCTAATTTACATCTGAAGCAGTATCTTCAAAGGCGA